CCAGAATTGGCAGCACTCGGTCAGCAGAGAGCTCCTGGCCGGCCTGAGCCAGCGCGAGGTCGATCGCCAGGAGGTCATCAACGGTAAAAACGGGGAAAAAAACGGAATTTGGGGATTTTATGGGATTTTGGGGATGTGCCGGGGGTCTGGGGAGGGGCTGGAGTGGGGGGTGGTGATTTTGGGGGATCAGTCCTGGGATTTGGGGGATCATTGTTGGATTTGGGGTCTCATTTCTGCAATCTGGGGGATCAGTCCTGAGATTTGGGGTCTCATTCTGGGATTTGGAGTCTCATTCTGAGGATCTGGGGTCTCATTTCTGGGACTTGGGGTCTCATTTCTGGGATTTGGGGGATCATTCTGAGGATCTGGGGTCTCATTTATGGGATTTGGCGTCTCATTCCTGGGATTTGGGGTCTCATTTCTAGCATTTGGGGCATCATTCCCTGTTCCTTGACGGATTTGGGTCCCATTCCCTGCTTCTTTCGAGGATTTGGGGTCTGATTTTGGGCTTTTGGGTCCCAATTTCAGATCTCAATTTTGGGTGCTGATCCTGGGGGCACTGCTTTGGGATTTGGAGGTCCCCTCTATCCCGATATCCCAATATTTTATCGTGATATCTCAATATTTTATCCCAATACTTTATCGTGGTATTTTATTCCGATACTCTGCTATTTTGTCTCTCTATCCCGATACTTAACACGATATTTTTCCATGCTTTATCACAAAATCCCAACATCTTATCTCTCTATCACATTATTTTATCCCAATATTTGATTTCTCTATCGCAATATTTGATCCCTCTATCCCGATATCCCACAGAGCTGTTTTCCATGGTGTTTTATCCCAATATCCCAATATTTTATCCTGATATTTGATCTCTCTATCGCGATATTTGATCCCTCTATCCCGATATCCCACAGAGCTGTTCTCCACAGTATTTTATCCCGATATCCCGATATTTTATCCCGATATTTGATCCCTCTATCCCGATATCCCGCAGAGCTGTAGTCCACGGTGTTTTATCCCGATATCCCGACATTTTATCCCGATATTTTATCTCTCTATTGTGATGTTTTATCCCGATATGCCGATATTTTATCCCGATATTTGATCCCTCTATCCCGATATCCCACAGAGCTGTTCTCCACGGTGTTTTATCCAGATATCCCGATATTTTATCCCGATATTTGATCTCTCTATTGTGATGTTTTATCCCGATATCCCGATATTTTATTCCGATATTTTATCCCGATATTTGATCCTGGCAGAGCTGTTCTCCACGGTGTTTTATCCCGATATCCTGATATTTGATCCCGATATTTTATCGCGATATTTGATCCCGATAT